ATCTTTTTTTCATGATATTATAATCTATTCTATCTCTAATTCTAATTATTATCATCATAGATTCTTTGAATAGATTTTAGTATAAGTTAAAAGTATTTTATTTGTATTTTATGTTCAGAATAATAATGTTTATCAATTGATTGATTTGTTAAATAAACACAAATAAAACTCATGTCAATTGTATTAATGAAATACAGAGTGTAATATACAATAAATGATGAGAATTCATTATTATTCACTTCTATCATTTTATAGAATAATAATCAAATAATAATCAAATTTGATAATTTAGTTTATTTCATAAATAAATCAATCATTTAATACTTGTTCAATAATTAAACACTTTCATTTTGTATTAATTGAATTTTATAATATTTGTTTATATAATGTAATGATAAATAACAATAATATGTTGTAAGATGATATGAACCATTTAATATTCTAATCTTTATTAACTATTTTCTTATTATTCAATTATAATAGTAAAAACATGAATAGATTAATTCAATGTATTGTATGTTAGAGTGTTAATGAGATGAATCACATAATCAAAATACTTTATTTAACATTAATATCTTTTAATAAATATCTCAAAAACTCACATATAAATGATTTAGATGATGATATTTCAAATGAATACAAAAATAAACAATTTATTCTAAATACTAAATATTATTGATTACCAGATGAACATAAAATACTAATTAAACAAAAGATACAAAAATAAAATGATAAATAGAATAGAATAAAATCAATAAATATGTATTTCATAAATAAAATAATAAAGATAATTATGGAGATAATAAGAGTTTAAAGAAATGATCTTTTTAAATTATTAAATATAAAAGAAATTAATACAATGAAAAGAACACAACAACAATAATAATGTATAAATATAAATATTAGAATAGAAATAAAAATGAATTAAATAAGAAGAAGAGTATAATTAATCATTAATAATAAGAGAATTCAAAATTGAATAGAGAGAATGTAATCCATCTTTCATTTTTAAATGAAGTTGAAAATATTTCTTGTTTAATATTGTTTCATAAAGATTTAAACATTCATTACATAAATCAAGAAATGAAGTTATTTCATTCAATAATTGTTCACGATATTCTTTATTAATATCAGTACTTTTGATCATTTCAAAATATTCAATAATTCCACCATTCACTTCTAGATATATGAGTAATAATTATTAAATTAAAAACAATAACAAACGAGGAATTAATGAACCTTGTAAAAGAGATAAGAGAGTCATCGTAGGAGTATTTCTTTGATTTGAGATAATAAATTGTGAAGTAAGTTGTTTTTTCTTCTTAATTACATCATCAATACAACATTCAATTGGAGTACAAAGATATTCTTCAATATGAAGAACTTTTTGTCTTATGAGTTCAGAAGGGAGAGGGTGTTCTGTTGTAATATATAATTTTTTCTTCCATATATCTTTTATAGTTATATTTTTATTATCTTTTGTTTTAATGATAGGTATTTCAGATATGAATTTATTTGTTTGATCTTTATCTTCTAATTTCTTAACAGAACCTATTTGAATAAAAGATGTGTTAAATGGTAATTCATTAATGTCTTTATTTTGATTAATTATTGTAATAGTTCCATTCAATGTAACACCAAGTGATTTTGTCATTTGTGTAATTGCTTCTCCAATTCGTAATTCTGATCGATAGATATATTCTTTGTTTTCTAATTCACCCCATTCTTTTCCTATAAATTTTACAAAATAATATTCTCCAATATACATGAGACTTTTATCATTTTTCATTTTATATAATTCTCCCATTTTCAAATAACATTCTGAAACTTTATTCATTTCTTCTTTATATTTATAATATTCAATTAATATTTCATTCATTTTTATACTATAATCATACATCTTTCCTTTTGTAAAATATTCAATACTTTTATTTATACTTCTTTCAATTCCATTTTCATTAAATGGATATTCTCTATCATTTTCTTTAATTTTAATTTCTTTTTCATCTATTTTTGTATAAAATGGTATTTTATTTATTTTAATTAAATCTTCTTTTATTGGTTTAATACAATACCATATTATTTCAATTATTTTATTCATTCCAATTCCTGCTTCAATATAATTCCCACTTTTTTCTTGTGTTTGAACAACTTTATCAATCCATGTATAATATAATCTTGGATACTTTTGATATTTCTTTGAAATTTCAATATATTTTTCTTGAATAAGATTCATATCTGTTTTATATTTGTCCATTTTAATTAATTCATGTGAAACATTTAAAATTTCTTTAATTTGAAAGATAACTTTATTTATATCATTTTTAAATAAACTCTTTTCTTCTTTATTCTTTATTTCTGCTTCTAATGTTTCTTCTAACTTTATACTTTCTTTTAATTGAAGTTCTGTAATTGCTGTAATTGAATAATATGTTGTATTTGAAAGTGTTTTATGATATTTATAATCTATTTCAAGTATTCTTTTATAATATTTATAACATTTCTCTCTAATTGTCTTTTCTTTATCATTCATCATTTTTATGATATTTCTAATTAAAGGAAATGAAAATATTTTTATTTTCAAATAATCTATATTTTCTCTTATTATTATTTTATTTATTCCATCAATGAGTTGATCTAAATAATCATTTCTCATTGGAATATAAAATAATAGATTTACCATTATATCAATATATTTTTCTTTTATTTCTTCTTTTTTATTTAATATATTAGTAACTTCTTGAATGATTATTTTTCCACTTTCAATATAAATTTCTTTAAGTGTTATTGTCATTTTCATTGGTCGTCCAACATTTCCTTCTGTTTCTATTATTTTATACTTTTCTTCTTCTTTCTTTTCATTTCTTCTTATAGACTTATATTCTTCATTCTTATTTATTTCTATTTTCTCTCTTTCTTCATATCTTATTCTTCCTTTTATTTCTTCTCTCTTTATCATTCTATCAATATCTATTTCTGTATTTCTAATTCTTTCTACAATTTTTATATCTCTTCCTATTTTTTGATACCCTTTTAGAATAAATTTTATTGTATCTGCCATTTTCTCTTCTTCTTCTTCACTCATCATTATTTTATTATTTTGAATCATCATCAAAAAACAACAATAAAAGATAATATGTTCCCATTCTTCTCCTTTATTTTGCCATTCTACAATATTATTACTCTCTTTCAAATATTCTTTAATACATATTTCTTTTGTTTTATTATTAATTCTTTTTATAATTTCTTTATTGTAGAATAAGAATGTAATTATATAACTTGTTCTTTTTGATATTTTTAATGTTTCAACAATATATTTCCAATATTGTACAAATTGTTTATTTATTACTTCATTTTGTGTTTTTATTGAGAAGATTCCTTTGTAAAATTCTTGATTATTGATGAATTGATTAAAAGATTCTGATACATCAATTTGATGATTAATTTGATGAATTTCTTCTTCATTAATTATAGTGTTTATTTTATTAATTAATCTCCCAAATTGATAACTTACATTTCTAAAACAATAATATTTTATACAATAATCTTTAAAAATAATAAATGTATTGATAAGATGAATTAATATTTGATGAATATTTGATTGACAATATTTCTTTATATCATCTTGTTCTAATACAAGTGAAATCATATTAATGAAAAATCCAATTCCTATAATATAAGGTTCTGGATTTATATTAAAATCAGAAGTTGTTTTGATATTTTCTATATATTTAGTAATAATTTGTATAAAAAGATCTGTTTTCAATTCATTCTTTTGTATAATTGTTGAAATCACTTGAGAAATAATTTTTTGAGATAATAAAAAAGAAATAGATGATAATTTTGATATAATAAATGTTAATTTATTTATATTTATTACATCATTTCTTATCAGTATTTGTTTAAGAAAAAACAATATAATTTCATATCCATTATATTTATATTGACAATTAGAAAGTTTATTTAATTCATTTTCATTATATTTAAATATTTTAAAACAATTAACTTTTTGTGTACAATTTCCTATAACAAGATATATTATACTAATATTTCTTTCTTTTTTATATCCAATTATTATTCTTTCTTCTTTATTACAACTTATTGTTGATAAATTAATAACTCCTTTATATTCTTCTCCTTTATTATTAAACAAAATATTTATTTTTTTATTTTGTTTTTTTGTTTTAAACATTATCATAATTTCTTTTGTTTCTATTATTGTTTTAATCTTTTTCGTTTCTTCTTTGTTCATTTCTATAATTCCTTCACTTTCAATTTCAATTCTTCCTTGTTTAATTTTTTTAATTCCTTCTATCTTTTTAATAAATACAATATACTTTTCTTCGTTGTATTGTTTTATTTCATGTTCATCAAAACTTATCATCTCATTATTTGTTCCTCCTATACCTATTTCAATTTGACATTTTTCTTGTTTCATCTCTTCTTCTTCAATCACTTCTTTGATTGTCTTTTGTTTATTATTCACTTTTCTAATTTGAATACTATCAATTCTTTCTCTTCCATACATAATTTCATTCATTGCAATTATTCCAATTCTTTCAATGTTATAGTTGTTAATATGAATTCCTTTGTTTTTCATTTCTTCATTAATACAACAAATACAAAGACTCTTCTTTTCATATTTATTTTCTTTGTTATTGAGTACAACACTTTCTGGTATTTCTATACATCTCATCTCAGAAACTATTTCTTTTGTTTCATCAGAAATCATCACAACAATGATTTTACTCACATTCTTTCTTTCAATTTCAATTTTATTAATCCTTATACATACTGTTTTATATTCTTCTTCATTTTCTTTCATTCTCATGAATTGTGAATCAAGAAGATATCCCAAATCACCTTCCATCCTTTTAATTCAAAGTTCTACGATGATTAATGTATCTAATCTATTTTTAATTTTGAAACCAAAAGGAACTGAGAAATCAATCGACACATGACGAATGTTCTTCAATATGTAGAGACAAGAAGAATAGGGGAAAGAAATAGAATAACTCGAATTGAACATCCAGAGAATAGTGAAGTAATAGTGAAGAAGGAATATCAGAGATTAGATACAAACACAACCCCATTTTGTTGTCAAGTCGAAGAGTGATAATTTGATTATTTTAATAACATGAATTCTGGTAGTTTTGATTTTATATTCATCTTATTATTAAGTAATCTGTTGAGAATATGAAAATACAATGCATGATGTCAATAATTCAAATTGATGAATAAGAAACAAATATGTGATGAATAAAAGAAGAATAAGAATGAAGTGGTTAATGAATATAATTGTATCATAAACAATCAATATAATGAAATCATCAATAAAATAATAATAAAATGAAATATGAAAATTATCAACAATAATCATTAATCAACAATTTCATTAATGAAATAATCAAAATATAAAATCAAATTCATCATTATATTCTCTCATTTCAATTATTTTTAATATAAATTAAAACAAAATGATGAATAAAGAATGAATAAATATAAAATATAAATAAAATAAATAAATAAGAAGATAAATAAGATAAAATATATAATAAATAATAAACAAAATAAAATAAAGATATAAATAAAAATAAAAAGTAGATAATTAAGTATTAATAGAAATATTTTCTATTGTTCCTTGCTCAGGGGAGATTAACTAATCCCATCCCTGAGCTTTAAATGTATTTGTTCTTCAACTATTGCCTTATTCTTTGCTTCTAGTTGTTGAACTGTGAGATTTTCCTTTTCTTGTTTTGATGTTGAGTAGAGTATTTTAAACATCAATTATTTAAATATTCATTATTAAATTTCTTTTTAATTTGATGGGTTTGAATTTCTTCTTTATTTTCTTATTTTAAGGAGAATATATAATTACTACTGTATTGCTTTGGGTTAATATTCTTTTTAGAATCAACCACTAAACCCTTTTCCTTTGATAATCTTATATTATCAAATAATACTTGTATTCTAACAAGTAATAATAACATCTTTATAAATACCCATTCGTTTATTGTCCAATGATATTCTGTCATTGTACATAATAAACACTGCTATTCTTACAGTACTGATTAAGATGTTTTTCTAACCAAACGCAACGTCATAACCAGTCCATAACTGGTGTATTTGAATGATGGAAATATTTAGTGGAGTGTGTGTTGTCTCTGACGTACTACCTTCGAATCCCAAATAATGAATAAAATAACAACAAAATGAAATATTTAATAATTATAATTTATTAAAAATAAAAATAAATAACATTTTATTTTATTTCTTATTATTTATTGTTTTTCATAACAAATATCAATTAATAAAAATAGAATGATGATAAAATAATAAAAAAGAAGAAATTAGAACACAAAAATAAAAGAACTAATAAAAACAACTAATAAATAATAAATCAATAATGAAATTAGGATATAATGAAATAATGATAGTATCAATGTATTTTAATGATATTAATGATTTTATTAATTTAGAAATGGGAGTTAAAAGATATAGAGGAAATATGGAACGATTTCATTTTAATCCAATTCCATTAAATAAATATTCAAGAAAATTCTTTCCTAATATTGAAACATTTCATATTTATAATGAAGATGATAAAATATTTAATGATGGAAGAATATTTAAAAAAGTAATATGGTATTTCGTAGAATATTCAACATATTTAAAAAAGAAAAAAAAAGGAAATATCTATAAAAATATAGAATATACAGAATCAGATAGAAAATCATATGGAACTACAATACCAACAGAAGTTAAATCACTTGGAGATAATTGTTTTGAATATTGTAATGAATTAACATCAATTAATATACCATCATCAATTAGTAAAATAGGATATCATTGTTTTGAAGAATGTACTTCACTAACATCAATGAATATAGACAATCTACAATTTATTAGTAAAGAAAGAATATTTATGAATGAACCAGTGTTAATTAGTTTTGAAATACCAGAAAATCTAAAAATAATCAATGGAAAGAATATTTGCAAGAAAGATATTAATGAATTTATTATTCCATCTTCAATTACTAAAATAGGTGATTGGTGTTTTAGTTATTTTTTATCATTAAAATCAACTAATATACCATCATCAATTAATGAAATAGGAGATAATTGTTTTTTAGGATGTTCATCATTAAAATCAATTAATATACCATCATCAATTACATCATTTGGAGGTGGTTGTTTTTATGAATGTTCATCATTAACATCAATTAATATAGACAATCTACAATTTATTAGTGAAAAAAGAATATTTATGAATGAGCCAGTGTTAGTTAGTACTGAAATACCAGAAAATCTAGAAATAATAAATGGAAAGAATATTGAAAATAAAGATATTAATGAATTTATTATACCATCTTCAATCACTAAATTAGATGATGGTTGTTTTTATGAATGTGAATCATTAAAATCAATTACTATACCATCATCAATTAGTGAAATAGGAAATAATTGTTTTTATGAATGTGAATTATTAAAATCAATTAATATACCATCATCAATTACATCATTTGGATATGGATGTTTTTATGGATGTGGATGTGTTGAAGAATTAATGAAAAATAAAACAATACCAAGAAATTGTTTTGATGAATGGTATTGAATGAAATACAAATACAATAAATGAAATACAATATAATTTGAAGAAGAAACAAATTATAATTGACTATCATTTATATTATTATTATTATTTTCTTATTTATTCATTTTGATATTATTCTTTTCTATCTTATTGATTGATATATCATTCTTTATATTTGTTTTATAATTCTTTTTTATTCTTTATTTCTTTTTATTCTTATTATATATTCTTATCTTTCTTTTTTTTATTTTATTTCTTTATATCTTTATTTTATTTGGATTCGAAGGTGCACGTCAGAGACACTACACAGAATACTAAAATATTTCCTTCCTTCGATTCACCCAGTTATGGACTGGTTATGACGTTGCGTTTGGTTAGAAAAACATCTTAATCAGTATGCAAGAATAGCAGTGTTTATTATGTACAATGACAGAATATCATTGATAATAAACAAATGGGTATTTATAAAGATGTTATTATTACTTGTTAGAATACAAGTATTATTTGATAATATAAGATTATCAAAGGAAAAGGGTTTAGTGGTTGATTCTAAAAAGAATATTAACCCAAGGCAATATATTAGTAATTATATATTCTCCTTAAAATAAGAAAATAAAGAAGAAATTCAAACCCATCAAATTAAAAAGAAATTTAATAATGAATATCTACATAATTGATGTTTAAAATACTCTATTCCACATCAAAAATGAGAAAAGGAAAATCTCACAGTTCAACAACTAGAAGCAAAGAATAAGGCAATAGTTGAAGAACAAATACATTTAAAGCTCAGGGATGGGATTAGTTAATCTCCCCTGAGCAAGGAACAATAGAAAATATTTCTATTAATACTTAATTATCTACTTTTTATTTTTATAATTTATATCAATTTTCTCTTTATATTTATTATTATTATTTTATTTATATTATATTGATTTTATTTATCTTTTCATTTATATATTTTATTTATTATTATATCATTTCTTTTCTCTTATTATTTCTTTATCATTTATTATTATTTATTTGATTTTTATATCTTCTATCTATATCATATGAAATTAATATTTATTATTTATTAGATATTATATATTAATCATATAACATCTATAATTGACTATATAATAAACACTAATAATAAATAATACATATAAATAAAAATCATAAAAATAAAAATGAATAAAATAAATTGCATAAATAAAATAAAGTTAAATAATTTGTATCAATAAATTAAACACTTTTTTATTGCATATTTCTAATTTCTATAATAAAAAATACACCCATTATTTCATCATTCTTTTCATCTTTTATTATCACTTTTTGAATTATTCATTTTTATCTTCTTTCATTTTATATTCTCAACATTCTTCTTTTATTCTTTTCATCTTATTCTACTTCTTACTTTTTTATACACTTCTTTCTCTTCATTTTTCTCTTATTTGCTTTTTTAGTGACCATTACTTACAACAGATAAAATAAACAATAATGATATGATATATTAAGTAGTAAAAAGCTTAATTCAAAGAATAAGAATAAAGAATGAATAAGAAATAATAAAAACAATAAAAATATATGACCAATTATAATAATATTGATAATGAAAGAATGTTATACGTATTAGAAATATCAATAGAAATTATAGAAATAACAATAAACACATTAGAAAAATAATAATACTAATATAATGAACAAGAACAACATAACCAATTCAAAATATTTTTTATCATTCATTTTGAATAAATAAAAATAATATTTTCTTTCATTTACTGAAGTTTGTATCAACCTGAATTGAACATATCCATCCCATAAATAAAAGTAACCCAAATACTCTTTAAACTTATTAAGTATTAACTTTAACTTCAATAGATTAGTTGGTATAAGAATAAATTACACAAGGACCTTACTAGTACAAAAATGTACCAAATTTCAGACCTATTAACCAGAGTTTTGCTCATTTGTATTGATCTTCTTTAAGCAAAACATAGACTAGAGAGAATTTTATTAAAAAGTGGATAAAAAAAAAGAAGTGGCTTACTTAAAATGAATTTAAAATTTTACGAAACAAGAGGAGATAGTTTTCTGATATGACCCCAATCCAAGTTAACACTTCATTTTATAAGAGGTGCAAAAGTTTTTTATTATAAATTGTAAATAGTTTTATAATGAATAAACAATAAACAATTTTCAAGAAAAATTTGAATAAAAATAGGTATATATAACACATAATAAAAAACCCTAAGGATTGTTAACTAAAAAAAGATAAGAAGAAATGAACGAAGAAGAAATACAAAGATACAGAAATTTTAAATTTGTTTATGAAAGGCCAGAACGTGGAAATATTCCATATTGCGATGTTTATGAATGTGAATCAAAAGAGAACGGACGGTACCTATGTCATATTATAAAGAAATACCATTTAAAAAGTATAGAACAAATACCATTTATTGAGAAAGAATTAAATGTATTGAATTCATTACAACATACAAATATTCTTGAGTTAGACTCTTATTTTCCTGTTCAAAGTAGAAATGAATTTTGGTGTGTTTTTAAAGGAACAAATTATGAATTTTCAAGATATGGTACTCTTTGTATTGAACGAACTACAAACACAAATGTAGGAGCATTTTTATTTGATATATTAAGTGCAATGCAATACATAGTTCATAGTAAAATGTTATTAAAACCAAGAATTAACCCAAAACAGTTTTTCGGTTTTCACTCACCAGATTCTCCTTTCCCAGTATTGAAATATTTATATGAAGAGCAATTTGATGAAGGGGAAAATAATGCTAATTTTGCTTATTGTGCTCCTGAGTGTTTTGTCGGAAAGACAAGTGATGTAAGTTATCTTTGGTCATTAGGAATTATTTTACTTAGATTTTGGCTTGGATATAAAGAAGCTAGTTCTCCTGAAGAATATTTAAAATCAATAGAAATTATTAAGAAAGAAGGAATTTCTAAACGATTTGTTAAAGATGAAAATAAAAGATGGGTATTATCTATGTTACTTTCATATGATGAAAAACAAAGAAAACAAGGAGATGGAATTATTCTTTCTGGAATGTTTCTTGAACAAAATTTTGAAGAACGTATACATCAAGGAAATGCTGATGATTATGAAATAATAAAAGAAATTGGAAAAGGGGCATTCGGAAAAGTATTTTTATGTAATAAAATTAATACAAAAGAAGAAGTTGCAATTAAATGTGGAGATCAATGGATTGCACGAGAGAATAAAATATTAATGTTATGTCAACATGAAAATATAATGAAAGTTTATGACTATTTTAAAGGAAATAATATATTTGGATTTACTGGAGAACATCATTTTCTTGTAATGGAATATTGTAATAAAGGGAATTTAGAAGATATATTAAAAAAAGGTAAAATTAAAGAAAATGAATTTTGTTCTTGGACAAAAGATTTATTAAATGGACTATATTATCTTCATAGAGTAAAACATATTGTTCATAGAGATTTAAAACTTGGTAATTTATTATTACAAGAAAATAAGAGAAATAATATTCCAATTTTAAAAATTAGTGATTATGGATTAAGTAGAGAAATTGATGAAGATATGATGAGTTGTGTTGGTTCTACACAATATAAATCACCTCAAATTCTTTTTGGATTAAAATACTCAGAAAAAACTGATTTATTTTCAGTTGGTGTTATTTTATATAAAATGTTAACTCAACAATTCCCATTTGGTGAAGAAGTTTATGAAATAAAAGATAACGTTCTTGATAGAAAAGAAATCGAATTTGAAATTCCTGTTGAAGAATCAAAGAAAGATTTTATTGCTAAATTACTTGAAATTGAAGAAGAAAAAAGAATGAATTGGGAAGAAATACTTAAACATCCATTTTATCATGAATTAATGAATAATAAATTTCATTCTGATCCTTCTTTATTTGAATCACTTACATCTTCTTTTGATGTAACTTCTTTTTGATTGATTGATTTGATTGGTTATTAAGTGTTAGTTTTTTTGTTTTTATCTTTTGTTTGTTTGAAAAATATTTTATTATTATTAATGAATCACTTTTCTAACTATTACTTATTCCTTCATTCTTCTTTTTTAACTTATTTTTTCTTTTTTATCAGTTTTGTTGATATTTACCAATTTACAATTCAACGTAAAGATACATAATGAGTGTTATCTTTTAGCAAGTAAATGCTATTACACAATCCTTCTATCTATTAAACCTAAGGATGCTGTTATTATTTAATAGATTAATACATTATTTTTGTATTAATTATAAAAATCAACACCATTTATCTATGTTTTTCTTCTCATAACATTTCTTTAAAAGGTACTAGTAAAAAGAATAAAAGAGGGAGATATTTAAAGAATTGTTTAATCAAATAAAAAGGTATTATTATTACAATACAGAGACCATTTTTGATTTTGTTTTATATTGAGGGTTATTATTTTAATTTCCGTGATGAAATGTATTTCTGTTTTAGAATGAAGATAAAGCTAATCAAACATATTAATTAATCATTGTATGTAATTGAAGAAAATAAACGTTATAAATAACAAAATAATAAAACCCTGATTTTAAGTAAAAAAAAATATAAAAGAAGGAATTTGATAAAAAGAAGAATGTACAAATTTGATAATGCAGAAATTGAGAAAGAACAAACAATATTACATGTTCCTAAAGAATGTTATTTTTATCTAACAGGACATTTTCAATTTGAAGTATTACAAGGAGATGTTTATGTTAATGGAATTAAAGTAATGAAAGGAAATCATTGTATTGAACAATCACACTTTAGTCCAGCAATACCATTTGTTTGTAAAACTAATGCAGATATTCAATTTAAACCATTAACAACAAGTTGTGAAGAATTATATGAACTTCCAAGTTCATATTTAATGAAAGAAACAACAAAAGAAGATACATTACTTTCATCAAATGCATTTACATTTGGAGGAATAAGAATTGTTAATAAATCATTGGCAAATAAAATGAATATTCCAAAAAATTGGAGAAGAGTAATTCAACGAATAAAAAATACAGCAAAACAAGGAGTTGTAAGAGTTGGAGTTGTAGGAGGAAAAGGAGTAGGGAAATCAACATTTGTTAATTTATTAAAGAATTCATTAGTTGAAGATAATAAAGTGTGTATAATTGATGTAGATCCAGGACAACCATTTTGTGGTAAAATAGGAACATTTTCATTAATAGTTTGTGATAAACAAAATTTTAATGAATCATATATTGGAAAAACATTTTATGAAGAAAATAATTTTGTTATTGGATCAAATAATTTAGGAAATAATACTTGTCTTGTTGTTCAAACAATTAAAGAACTTATTCAACTTTATATAAATAAATATAGTAATCTTCCTCTTATTATTAATACTGCTGGATGGAAAAGTGGTTTTGGACTTGAATTACTTGAATTAGAATTATCATTAAGTAGAACAATGTTTGTTATTGACATTATTGATTCACCAAATTCTATCATCAAAGAATTAGATCAAATTTGTCCAATTCATATAGCAATTCAATCTTGTGTTAATAAAGGTTCTATTCTTCCTAATTTATTAATTTCTTCATTTAAAAGAGATTTATCATTATCTAATTTAATGATACATTCAAATTGGTATTCTATTCCTCTTAAAAGAATTGCTCTTTCTTATTTAGATGATTTTGATCCTCATTTTGCTCTTCTTTCAATTAATAATAAATATGTATTTCTTTCTCATAACCATTCACTTGAACCTCATATTATTAATAATATAACTGATTATCCTGTTTTTTATAAACCTGATAATAAATCTGCTCTTTCTACATTTGGAATTGGATTGGCTCTTGTTAATGTAACTTCAAAAACACTTTATATAAAAACTTCAATTGGTGATGATAAAATGAAAGATGTTAATACAATTATTTATTCAGTATTTATGGATTCTCCTGTAATGCATCCAATAGTTGATGGTGAAATTGGACCTTATATGGCATTAGATCAAGATGTCAGTGGATCAGAACGTTCTCAGTTTAAATTTATAAGAAGAAATTTTGATTAATAATGAAATGATTTAATTTGATTTTTACTTTTCTTTTATTATCAAATATTGAGGATTTATTATGTTTTACTATATTTATACTATAAATATAGTAAAATAAAACTTAAATAAATAATAAGAAGATGAAATGATTAAAAGATTGTAATTGATGGAAATTATTGATACCACCAATGATATTGATACTATAACCACAACTATGAAAAGACTCTCAACAACTCCAAATCATAAATTAATTGATAGTCTTCCTTATAACTTTGCAAATCAAATAAAAATGATTCTACTAAACGAAGGTAATCATGATGGGTTGGATGAAGTCATTTGTAAATTAAACCAAATTGCTGACGAAACAGGAAATGGAAATGTTCTACTTCCTATTGTTCAAAACTTTGCGTTAATTAAAGATCAACAAATGAGACCATTGACTAGTATTGAAATTACTGTGTTTCATTATCAATTATTAGAACCGTTCAACACAATAATCAATCCCAACGACCTTATTAACGCAATTTATTGTGTTCCAAGAACAAATAGTTGTTTAATAAGAGCATTCTTTTATTGGAGTGGGTGTTATTTTCTCAGATTGAACTTAATGAAGAAAGCAGAATTTATGTTTAGAAATTGTTGTGAAATACCACTAATGAAAAAAACAGCTAGTAAGTTTGGAATTGAAGCATCAAAAAAACTTATTTTATTAACGGCTGCTCATTTTGAACAGTACACCATTCCTTTTCCTTATTACCTTTTTATTCCAAAATGTTATAAAATGATAGCAAAACTTTGTGGCGGATATAATCTTGAAGGCATTAACCGTTATTCATCAGATAAAATATTTAAAGAAGATGGAAATGATGGTGTTGTTGAATACTTATATCAACAATGTCAAATCAAAGCAATTGAACATATAGCAAAAGCATATTCTACAATTTCAATTGACGACATTATAAGGAAAATAAATATAAGTCAAAGTGATTTGATTAATTGCATTGAACAACAAAATAAAAGAGGAAAAGATTGGGTAATTATTCATGACACAATCTTGTTTGGGAATAATCATCTCATCAACCAAATCCATAACGAATCATTTTTACTTCAAATGACTGAAGTAACATTACAACAAGCTAATGACTTTATGAACCTTAAGAAAAAACAAAGAAATCAATCAAAAATGAAAAGTGATTAAAAACAATTCAATCTTATTTTATTTTCCTTGTTATTTTTATTTGTCTTTTAAAAAGAAACAATATCTTTCAAAAAAATTGAAAAGAAATAAATAAACATGAAACATTAAGTATTTTTTTAAAAAGATAAAAGTCAACAATGAATCATTACGTAAATATAAATATTGATTTTTAATTTAATTTGATTAAAACAAAATGAAAAGAAAGTAATTATCACCCTAACCCTAATATAAACCCTTTCATATTTAAACAACTATCTTCTCTATCTTTGCATTCTCCATCTTCTAAATGCCAAAGGAAAAGACTCATATTAATATTGTCGTTATCGGTCACGTCGATTCTGGTAAAAGTACTACCACTGGTCATCTTATCTACAAATGTGGTGGTATTGATCAAAGAACCATTGAAAAATTCGAAAAAGAATCTGCTGAAATGGGTAAGGGTTCATTCAAATATGCTTGGGTCTTAGATAATCTTAAAGCTGAAAGAGAAAGAGGTATTACTATTGATATTTCATTATGGAAATTCGAAACATCAAAATACTATTTCACTATTATCGATGCACCAGGTCACAGAGATTTCATTAAGAACATGATTACTGGAACTTCACAAGCTGATGTTGCTATTCTTATTGTTGCAGCTGGTACTGGTGAATTCGAAGCTGGTATTTCAAAGAATGGACAAACTAGAGAACACATTCTCCTTTCATACACTCTTGGTGTTAAACAAATGATTGTTGGAGTTAACAAGATGGATGCCATCCAATACAAACAAGAAAGATATGAAGAAATTAAGAAAGAAATTAGTGCATTCCTTAAGAAGACTGGATACAATCCAGACAAGATTCCATTTGTCCCAATTTCAGGATTCCAAGGAGATAATATGATTGAACCATCAACCAATATGCCATGGTACAAGGGACCAACATTAATTGGAGCACTTGATTCAGTCACTCCACCAGAAAGACCAGTTGACAAGCCACTTAGACTTCCACTTCAAGATGTTTACAAGATCTCAGGTATTGGAACAGTACCATGTGGAAGAGTTGAAACAGGAGTCCTTAGACCAGGAACTATTGTTCAATTTGCACCATCAGGAGTATCATCAGAATGTAAATCAGTTGAAATGCATCATACTGCACTTGCACAAGCTATTCCAGGTGATAATGTTGGATTTAATGTCAGAAACTTAACAGTTAAAGATATTAAGAGAGGAAATGTTGCATCAGATGCTAAGAATCAACCAGCTGTTGGATGTGAAGATTTCACTGCACAAGTTATTGTTATGAATCATCCAGGACAAATTAGAAAAGGATACACTCCAGTTCTTGATTGCCACACTTCTCACATTGCATGTAAATTCGAAGAATTATTAAGCAAGATTGATAGAAGAACTGGTAAATCTATGGAAGGAGGAGAACCAGAATATATTAAGAATGGAGATTCTGCTCTTGTTAAGATTGTTCCAACTAAACCACTTTGTGTTGAAGAATTTGCTAAATTCCCACCATTGGGAAGATTTGCTGTTAGAGATATGAAACAAACAGTTGCAGTTGGAGTTGTTAAAGCTGTTACACCAAGAGCTTCTAATGCAGCAGCCGCTGGAAAGAAGAAATAATTAAGATATTAATTATTTAAATAAAGAAATTGTTTATTTTTTTAAGAAATAAAAATTGGAAAGAGAAGTTAATAAAGAAAATAGAATTTTATATAATAAGATTTGATTATATTTTTATTCTCTTTTTCTCTTTCTTTTCTGTCATTTCTTTATCTGAAAGAAATACATTTTAACAACATTTATTTCATCTCAATCACAACATTTCGTTTTGATGTGACACATTCTTCTTTTCCACAATAGACTTTTCAAATCAATTCTATTCATTCTGTTTTGTCAACATAATGATTCTCTCTTTTATTTGTTATTTTCTTATATAACAAATTACCATAACTACTATCCTTCCAATTTGAATAACTCCTTCACTTATTTTATCACTTAAATTAAATATAAATTCTAATATTGGTATTATTCTTTAATATCAAATTTCTTCATTTCTTTATTCTTCCTTTTGATTCTAATGAAAATAAATATGATTTTGATTCATTTATCCATTCATAATTACCACCTTCATCAATTTTCTTATTAACATATCCTCAAAATTTATTTCCTTTTGTATCTTCAATAATATTTATTATATCTTCTTTATTTATTATTCTTTGTTCAAATACTGATGTGTTCTGATTCCAATCATCTTTATCTGAATCAAATAGTATATTTGATTACTTTTCTATTTGTTTATTATTCTAGTTATTCTATTTAATTTTTTGATTTAACACTCCTCTCATTATTTCTAATCACCCTTCTTCTTGTCTCTTTTTTATTCTTCCTCTCAAAATAATCACTATAATATGTTTCCCATTCTTTTTTCTTTTTATTAAATGATTCTGTGATTTTATCTTTTTCTTTTGGTGTTCTAAATAGTTTATCTCTCATAATCATTTCTTCAATTGAAGTGATTGTGTTGATTATTTCATTCCGTGTTTTACTTAGTATTTCAGAATCATTATTACATTCTTCTATTATTTTCTTCATTTGATTCTTTATTATTTCTATTGTTTTAATTGTTTCTTGACTTTTTTCTATTATTAGGTTTCTTCTTCTTTCTGTTTCGTCCATCCTATCAATTATTCCTTCTCCTCTTTTAATTGCTTCTGAATATGTTTCATCTGGTTTTATTTCAAATATTTCATTTTTAATACATCCTAAATAATAATGATAATGTTTATTAATATCATCAATTGATTGTTGAATATTTGGAAGTGTTTCTATTTCTTCTTTAAAGAATTGAGTGTTCTTATTTATTAACTCTTCCATTTTAATTTAATGAATATCAGATTAAAATCAGATGATTAAATAATTAAATACACGTTTATAAAATATCATTTTATTTATTATTTTAATAAATGTTATTTCATTTTTATTGTTTTAAATAACAATAATAAAAACAAGAAAATAGAATAATAAAAATAAGAAATAACAAAACATTTCATCATATTTAATAATAATATCACATAATAATGATATAAATGAAAATGAAATAGAAATGAAAACGCAATTAATCATAAAAAATATATAATTAAGTGTTATTAATTTTATATTGTTCATTGTTCTGGTGAGATTAACAATATCTCTATTTATTATTTTATTGTTTATTGTTTATTTATTCTACTTCTTATTCTTATTTTATTCTTATTTTCTCTATATTTCATTTATTTATTCTTTTAATTAATTTAATATTAATTTATTCAATTATAGTTTGTTTAATAGATGTATAAATTTCTTTTTATTCATATAATTGTTCAACTTCATTATTATTATTATCATTTAAAATTGTAATGTTAATGTTATTCTTTGTTATTCTTAATCTTATAACTATTCATTTATTTATATTATTATATTTATTATATTTTATTTGATTTTATCTAATAAAATATTTGATATGTTGATTATCAATTTATTCTCTTCAAAGATGTGTATCTCTATTATTTGTTTTAATTTAATTTATTCTTTCTTCATTTCTATGTATTGTTATATCATTTGTTCATTTTGTTCATTTATTATTATTTTCTTATTTCTTATTTTCTTTTTATCATACCATTATCATTTAGTTGTTATTCATTGTTATTTATCATTATATTCATGTAATTCTTCATATTTAGTATATTGTATTTGTGATTCATTAAAATATGGTGTTATATAATATTCTTTTCTTTATTCTTTTCTATTATTTGTTTCGGTTCTTTCATTTTAGTTATTATCTTTGTTGTTATTTCTTCTGTTATAATTATTTCATTTTCTCTTTTATATTCTATTTCATTTATTGTTTTATCACGTCTTTCATTATCTAATTTAATTGTTAATTGTTTCATATCATTTTGAATAGATTGTTCATTAAATATTCTTCTTATTTTTCATTTTCATTCAATTAATATATTCTTATCATTTTATTTTGATTCTGTGTTGTTTCTCTAGTAATTATTTCTTTATCAGTAAATGAAACAATGATAGTGTTGTTCTATTTCATTGTTCATTTAATATAATTTATACTCTTTCATTTTATCAATCACCTTTATTATTATTTATATTTATAATATCTATTTATTATTTTTCAATATTATCATATTTAATTATATTATTTCAATTAGATTTATTTTAAATTAAATAGAATTATATCAATTATGATAATATAATAATTTATATGAATAATTGTTATATTATTATTTAAATACAACTATGTAATTATTTTTAATTATGATAAAAATACATTTAATATTCTAAATTAAATATTATTATTATTTAATATTATTAATTTAATTATTTATTATCTTTTAATCTAAAATATA